ACGTAAGTTTTGGATCAGATTCCTGCAGCTCAGACTAGCTACTTGCGTTATAAGCCTCTAATTTGTGGAGAGAGACTCCAAATTTACCATGCGATGGGCAGTCTTCATAGTGTCTGACCGGCCTACGGGACACGGTATCCGTACATAATGATCTTTCCTCACCAAATGTCGCCGACCGAGTAATTATTTTCAAAAATGTTTGATAAAGTTTATGAGAGGTAATATCTTTCCTAGGTGTGCAGAAGTTCATTTGACGCTTATTTAGAACGTGACTGGCATGAGCCACGACCCTTTCTACCCCGTTTCTATCCCTTTTTGACAAGACCGCTTCTACGTCGTCACTAGCATCGGTATCTACAGCAAAAATGCCGCCTTCGTTTCACGTATCCAGGTGCACTAATATTGGAGATGAGTAGGTAAAATCCTTTCGTTTCCGGATAGGGACGTTCGCGATGTTAGTTTATGTGGGCTGTTTGTTCCCAAGCATGTGTGGCGGCGGATAGTTCCTCCAAGAAACAGTAGCTTAGGGCCCGAAGAAATTCAACGTTGGTGTCGACTCTTCTAGTTTTAACAGACCCACTAACCTGAGGGCAAGCAGCCTGGCATTTAGGTCGTTTGGAGCGTCGCTGCGGTACGTGGTATTACTCATGAGCGATTGTCTTGCCAGTTAGTCGGAGCGCATCGGCACCTTGGTGCGACAGATCAACTATTCCATTCCTTTTGGCCACTCTATTGTGTCCCTACGTGGTCCCGTACCCGTCAGCGTATGATAAGTAGGAGAAGTTTGTGATTGGGGCTTGCGTCTGCCAAGCCCGCGTAGGGTCAATTTCCAAATGAGTCAAACGGTGGCACTGAAGAGGACGAAACTAGTTAGACAGAGAGCCTACAGCAGGAATATAATCCCCGAATACTGTGTAATTCGGCTGGAGACATTAGGGTTGGTGATTCTCTTATTTCCTGCAACTTTCTCTGGTCTCAATGAACTCCCCTAGTGGACACAACGTGTCGTGAGAAACGTACTCCCTTTTTGGAAAACAGACACTTATCAGGGCTGAGTTATGGTCCCAGCGCCCTTGGTCGACAGAGTATTTCTGCACCTTAGCCCAATTTTTGGCTAGCCGTCTCGTGTATATGACCACATTGTCTAGACACATCAAACACTACCAGAAGGAAGTCGCACAACAAGTGCGGAAATGTTTCAGGGGCTTTCCTTAACCCAGCAGGCACTGTCTCTAATTCCCACGATCTCTAGTGAATAACGAGTGCTGTCCCTGTTCTGCCTTTCGGGCCATGGATCCGCCCACCAGTATCACGAGGCCGTGTCCAAAGAGGTACATGAGGCCGACCCAACTAACCCACAAATGTATCAGCTTAACGTGGGAGAGAAACGAATCCCGTCCGGTCCTATGGTTTAACTCGAGGGGGTCCACACAGAGCTTGAAGGATCTGTTGGGTTTCTTAGCTGGCACTGCTGGAGAGACTCAAGGGGAAACCGGGGGTTTGATGACCCCTTTGGATAAGGTCGTCGTATCTCACTTGGCTTTTCCTGGAAGAGGATAGTCCTGGCTGCTTGTCCACAGAAGATTGCTCTGTCGGTGTCGATTTGGTGTTATGTCAAATTCGTTCTTACTGGTTTCGTCCCATCCCAATCAGAACAGCCTCCCAACTTGTCGATAACTTTTGAAAACTCATCTTTGACTTACATGGACAGTGGTCCTCCCCTCGTCAGTAGCTCCTGCTTTCGATTCGTGTTGTCCTTGCTCATAAATACCTGCCTCACACTTTCATTTTCTTAGCTGAAAGAAAGGTAGTTCACCCTCCTCAAAAATGAGAATTTGACGTTCGCAGTCAGTTATAGCATCAAGTGCTTCGAGAATCCCATAAAGAATGGTGACCGTCAAGTAGTTTGTTCGGAAACTACGAAAGCGTGCTCAAAAAATGTGGTCCTTACTTTTAATGATGGCGTTATCTTCCCCTGGGAGTGCATACCACCATTGTTTACCGTGGCTAGACGTAATATATCCTGCTGGATTTTTCGCCTGCGGGTCTATGGGATGCAAGGTGAGCATATAATAGAACAAGCAGCCCCAAAGTCTGCAGGCATCGTGAATTTCAGTTGTCTTTTGTACCCTTTCACCTACGTTATTCAACTAATAAACAAGACGTGGATTGATGTAACAAAAACACAAGAAGTCTCAAATTTACCTAGCCACCTTTCCAAAACATTGATAGTTATGAAACTTATTCAACTCCATGTCTATTTGTCAAGTTCCTCTGGCTCAGATACCACACCGTCCACACCACTATATGGTTAGCTGTTTACCTGCGCCATCAGATGCTGAGAAAGTGAACCAACGTCTGCCAGACCAATAGACAGAAGACAACTGCCACAGATGCTGCAGTTTCCAACTATCGCGGGAGAAAAGAAATGAGTGAACGCTACCTCATGCACGTCACAGGGACATGGATCTCAGATTCTGGTGGCTATCTGAAAAACGGTTCCCTGATAGTTCGATTGAAACTTGGGCTTTTAGTCCAGAACGTTTCACAATAATACATACGTTGAGAACACCTAAAAAGAGAACCCACTTTCGGCTCTGAATGCCTTGACATACATGCATAGCAATGTCAGAGTGATTATAAGCGAAGCAGGCGAGCTAGGATCTCTTTTTAGGCACTCAAACCTCGTAATTGCTTTCATCGATGAAGCTCGTCTCATCGCGGGTATTCCAGATGCCGAACTACATCCGGCCGACGTAACTGCAATTCGTGGGGAAAGGAGCCTCAAAGACTGAGTTAGAAACTCTCTTCATATATCCAAGACCCAAGAGTGAAGACGCACTAGGTGCAGGTAGTTCGGCTGCCACAATATCTGTGGTGATATTTGACACTGAAAAGCACGAAGTAATTGCTGGGGTGAGTTTACAAGCCTCCAACTGGCACTTTTGAACACAAAGTGTAGTTGACTCAAACTCTGTGGGTCACTACCGATGCGGCCTACGACAGTGTGGGAATCACGGGAATTTTTAACACTCCAGAGATTGGATTAGAGGGGGGATAGTTGCTTTTGTGAGTCATTGAACCACAAGCTCCAGCGGACCCTTAAGCGGACAGAACCGTGCGGAGAACCTGGGCAAATCACTCTATGAAGACCACGTAGCCATTCACCACGGTTTGACCATGTTGGAGAATAGTAGTTTCATCACGGAAAACGTGTGTTTATTCCCCACCAGGTGGAAATTTTCGTGGACTAATAACCTTGTCCATGACAACTGAGGAAAACCTGTCAGTCGGCGGTTCAATCAACTTCCGTCGCAACAGAGACGCAAGCTACTAAGAAACCAGGAATATTCTATTTGGAGCACCGTGGCTCCAGGGCCGAAGGTCTTTCACAGTAGATCACCACTGACCACTGATTGGAAGTGTATTCTGAGAAGGCAACCACCCCGCTGTGCCAGAAGTAGAGCAGCTCTCTCCCCCAAAACCTAATGCACCTGTCTCACAAAAGACGCGGGCAAAGAAATTGGCCGAAGCGGCAGCCATCGCACAAAGAAAAGGAATACTTTCGCGTGCAAAAGAGTTCACAGTCTATGCAACAGCAAGTTCCAAAACGAGTTAACAAAAGTAAGTTGACTAAATGATTTCATCATAGCCCGAAAGCCTATACTGCTTCACTTAACACAAGCAGAAAAACGGCTATACAGCCAACTGGGAGAATGAACCGGCAGTTCGGATTGTTTTCGTTGACCGGGTGAAAGCTCTTAACAGCGTCCCACCTATCACATAAATGACAGAGATTTCGGGAGCGGAGTCAGCAGATAAATAATTTCTTAATTCAGGAGATGCTTGAAGAGTAGGCAGTTCTGCACCAAGGCCGATAGAACCTAGTATACAGGGGGGGTTCCTGCACTCTCGGTGGCTCAGTGAGCGATTCCTGGTCGGCCTCTGCTACCCGTGAATGTACCTCCATCCTGCTTTCGTGGATGATATCTAAATATGGGGGTTATGAACAACTTCCCAGGACAATCCCGAGTTGATGGACCAAAGTATTGCTCCTCGACGGCAAGAAACAGCTTAGTCTGTGACATGAAGGTAAGTCGGTGAATTTTCAAACCTCAGAATCCAGCCTGGTGAACAACTCTGAAAGAAGCCAAAATATTCCACATGTGACAAAGAGCGAGGCTCAGGCCTCAGTTTCTGTACTGCTTTGGACATCTATATGAACTCTAAGGAGGTGATTGCAACGGCAAATTCTGTCACACACTGTACACCCCAGCGAGATCTGAACCTTCTAAAGAGGGTGAAGAGAAGGGCACGGAAGTACTTTGAGGGATGGGGATGAAACCCTATTCTGCACATTTATGAGAACTTGACCTATTAACTCTTAGATACCGCGGACAAAAAGTGACATAATAAAAGTGTATAAAGTGCTTCATCGGATGAAGCATCCCGAAAAATAATTGCTGTCGACCTAAAGTACGCATCCCTGCCGGAATCCAGCGAGGATGACACACAAAAGGGCCAACACTAGGATTATGGTCTGCTTGTTTTCACTAACAGTGCGTGCATTGCGGAGCAGCTCACAAATGAAAATCCCGATGGCTCCCACAAGGCAGTCATACAAATCATTGTCAGAGGAGCACGTTAACATGCTTGATTTGCCACCAACACAAATAGGGAGTTTCTGACCTCACCAACCCACCAGGATTCTTACTTATTGCCACCTGAACACTTCGCTAACTTTATACTTCTCGCGGTGCTCAGTTTTATTATTTATAGATTCCCTCCTTCCCTTTTCCATCAGAAACAGTCACTTTCATACTTTTAATTGTCATTTGGTTTTTCCGGTTATCGATAACTTTGAGCTACCATATAAACGGGAGTTGTAGAAAGCTCAAAGATTTGCTAACAGCTCCTTGGTTCACTTGCAAACTGGACCTACAGACTGCATAGGAAACAACCTTTGGACACTCAAATAATCAAAGTCAAACGCTGCGGAGCGGGAAGGGCTTTCATGCTCACTGGAGGAGTACAATAAAGCAGAAGGCAGTGTAGTCCCAACATGTAGATGTGAGAGTTGGAAATCTTTTAATTTCTTCGAAACAGACATTGTATATTGGATCTCAGGTCTTTTGAAGTTGGGACAATAACTGCCACCACTCTGTGCCCATCCTACTTTTCAGTAATACAGAATTCGTATCAAACTGGCAGTCGTTCATTATTTCTATAGCATACAGTTTTGGCTTTAAGATAGGGGATTATCTAAATAATTTCGTACATAAGGTCGTTTCGTAGGTCGCCGCTTATTTTGAAGTTTCGTAACTTTAGCTTGGATTCTTGGTCTCTTAGGTAATGTTGTGTGTCACTTGAAACCATTCAAAATTTATGATGTTTCCTTTTTATATAACTGATCGTGACTTCTTTTCTACCGTAGGTTTTCGCGCTATCTGAACATATATATAGCATAAAAATTATTCTTTTTTCAACATTACTGTGAGAAAAAGTTGCTTACAAGTCAATTTAACACGCACCAGTAGTTGGTATTTCCCGCAAGATGCCTCTTTCGACTTTTAAGAAGCACTTTGCACGAGGTAACCAGGTAAATCAACTAGTGTACTACTAACGTTTTGTAACAGTTTTTGTCTGAAAAATTAGGGGGAGTGAAGGGGACTGACAAAGGAGAAGAATATAGGCACCTTACTCAGGTAAGTCTCAGATTTTTGTTGGCATGGTCTGCTATGTTAAACAACCCTATCCAAGTGATGCAAGTGCAAACGTGGGACCGGAAATTATTTGCCGAGCTTAAACCAACCGTTGAGTGACCCCAAATCGTCCTTAGCACATTTTGACTAATAAACATTCAGCTTATATGATTTCACTTCACATTTACCAAAATGAGAAGTCGGGTTCTATGCAGAAGTCTAAAATTTTTTATGTGATCTTAATAATTGAAACGAATGAACCGAGAGTGGAAAGTTAATAGTTTGTGTAGTTTATCCCTGATTTGTTCACTCCGATGCCTGAGCACGTTCCTGATTCTAATTTCCTTAAATCTAACTTATATTTTTTATGAGGCTGAAAGTCTCATTAAAGTCAAAGAATTAAGAGCGCTAGGGAGTACATCGTAATAATTCTTAATGTGTGAACCTCAAAAGCTATCGTAGCTTTCCACATCCGACTTATAAATCCAACCGCTAAAATCCGATGTACTCAATGATCAGAACCCTCCGATTATTGTTACCAATTATTTTTGTCACGTCTTAGCAAAACTGCATTATTTTACAAGAGTGGCAACCAAGAAATTTAAACTGAAAACCTGCCTGGTGTCAGCAAATAACCCAATCGCCTTTGGTTAGAAATTTCAAAGACTATAGAGTTCTTCACTTGTACCAGTAAAGAACTTCCGAATCTTAGGGTTAAAGATTTGCAACGTTTTCATAGAGAACTAGAGGTTACTGCCAACGTTTCGTAATCCTGAAGATTGTTTTGACCTCAACTCAGTGATGGACACGTGGAAAATGTTTCTATTGCATCTCTGGAGAGGTTCGATGAAAGATAGCCGCTCCTTCCTAAGCACATGTTTGGACATGCTGGTTCGAGCACTCACATGTATGCACTTAAATTACAGCAACAGGACTATTATGACTGCTACCCGACGATGAGAATATTAAGGCTGCTTTGAAAGAAAAACAGACTAAACAGTTATCCAGGAGCAGCTTAGCCCCACCTTATCTGATGTAAAGCAGTGTTCAAGATCGTAGCTGACTCTGAAAATTGTTAGAAAGGGTCAGTGATTTCCAACCGCTTTCGAATTATTGGGTGCACGTAAACGCCTTCCTACAGGCTCCGAGCGCAATAAGGAGCGGAAGTAACTCAAATGTAGACTGATGAAAAGTTTACGCAGTGACTTAGAGCAGTAGTGGATGGTGAATGCTAAGGAGGTGGGATAGGCAGGGGCTATAGGTGACAATAAACATTTATTTGTGGAACCGTAGCTCATTGGTTTAGGAAGATAACTTTCAATCAACCAATCACCGTTTCGAACCGTGCTCCACCTACCGAGGTTTGGGTAGTCATGTAGTACCACTGGCCCTCACAATAGGTGTTATTCATTTCCTACTGCACGAATGTGCACAAGATTGCTGAGTGCGTTTCGGCTTTCTAGACATTTATTTAGGCTAGTCAAGGGGTTGGGGCAAAAGTTATGGGCTAGTGAGACTATAGTGGAGAGGTATGGATCTGCGATTCACTCTCTGGGAGATAAATTGAATGGTTGGCGGAATGCTATCAAGAACAGTTTGACTAGCCTCCAGCTACTATTACGTTACCAGCTGTCCAGTTGGAACCTGAAGAGAACACTAGGATAGGCCCTCTGATTCATGTGGAAGTCGAGAGAGCCATGAGTAACTTGAAGTGAGAAAGGACAGCAGACCCAGATAGACTAGTATCAGTGGTATTTGAAGACTTTAATCGAGGATTACTAGTCAGGTTAACTGAAGTATTAGCTAGTGGGTGAGAGTCAGATATGATCCTCTCTGACTGCTCTCAATCACTGATAGTCCTAGTCTGTAAGAAAGGGCGAAATTCTCTTGTGATAACCACAGGGAGATCAGTCCTGATGAATTTAGTGTCTAAGATTCTAGTTTCTATAATCATCAAACGTCCGGGTAGAGCTCGGAGACAGCAAAACTGAGAAAATCAGGCAGGTTTCAAACCTGGTCGTCCGTGTATTGACCAAATACTCACTCCCCCTCGGGTTCTGGGACATAGGGACACTTATCGACGCCTGCAGTAGCTGTATTTCTTTATATGAAAGTGGGATTTGACTCCGTCGACTGGAAGTTATTATGGAAATGTCTCAGTGAAAACGGTATTGGGTAAGTACATCACTGTGTTAAAGGCTCTGTACCTGAACACCTGTAGGCCTGTTAGAGCCTATGATGAGCTACCAGGTGAGGTATATACGTCGAGAGGTGTCGGCCAAACCTGTTCACTCCCTCCAAGCTTTTTTGATTTTCTCGTTGCTGTACTTATGGAGATCTCCCTGTGTGATCAGCCTTGTCAAAAGTAACCGCTTAGTAGACCTAAAGCACTCAAATGATAGTCTTGCTGGGTAGACACTAACAAGATACAGAATCTGGATATCTTGAGCAGCAATCCTAGAATGTTCGTGATGGATTTCTCACTAACCGAATTAAAATGGTTGCTCCGTTACTACTGTGCATTGCAGTGAAATGATTGAGCGCGTTAACGGTTTCACTCGCATGAAATTTTGAGTTAGCTCTAATGGGTCGGTGACCAATGAAATCTCGATATACATTTTAAAGGCTCGCTTTGTCTTCACCAAACTCCGCCATTTATAATACCGCGGTGATATCAGATTGCATGCTGAGGGTCGGCTGTATTTCGTTACAGTTTGCTCTGTTCCACATTATGGAAGTAAAACACTGCCATTAGGGGACACGAGGCTTTAGGTGTTTGACCGCCGTTGATTTCATAGCTTATTCCATGTGTCGTACTGTCACCACTTCAGTAAGGTAAAAGTCAGGTGTGGAGTTTTAGGGAGAAGAGGAAAAATCGATCGATACGTTTATAAACTTTCATCAACTCATAACTGGAATGTCTGTTACGCATGCCTAGTTACCGTCTATTTTGTCGCAGAATATTGGCTGAAGTACGTTTAAGCTTAAAAAGTTTAGGTGACCAAACTACAACATGACGTCAGTCTATGAACTATTTGAATGTTGGTTTGAGCCGTATGGAGAAAAGTAAACTTTCCGGTTGGTGTCCACGTGACAACCGAAATCTGTGCTTTGAGACTCTAGGTAATATGGCTTAGAATCTATATCAGTGGGATAGATGTATCCACATATTATCTTCATCTCAGTCATCATACTGAATTTCATCATTATTCCATCCCTTCTTGTTCTCATTTCGTGACTTTCTACCCAGTCTGATTGCTTTCTTCCTTATTTTTATATCTTTCACTTAGGTTCATTTTACTATGATGCGCTGATATGAAATGTGACACCATAGACCGTTAGGTGGCAGTGCTAAGTTCCATGTTGATCCTGACTGACTGACCTTATGTTCGATTTTCGTCTATCCCTAGACGTTATAACATAAAGTGCACAGCTGTGTGCAAGTCATAATTACCACCGTTCCTCCAAATACCCCTATGGAGCAACAACCAATCAAACACCTTTGGTTACGGTAGACCTCCCTTCTTGACAATACTTTATGATCTTATAGTTTCATTTCGTGCTGTCATACGCAGTACATGAGTTATCTCTCTAACCTGAAAATGACTGTTGTCTTTAGTTTTGATATTGGGAAGTAAGAGAATGATGTTTGTGATACTTGTTTCTATTTTTTTTCATTGAAAAGATTCAGTTACTGAGGCGTACTTTATGTTGGAGGGAGGAGCCTACAGAAAGTTGAGAAGTATTTACTGTAGTCTTGTATATGATTTTGAAGAAAAATCGCATCTATCGTATAAAATGAACTTGTGTCATTTTTCATGGTCTCAGAAACCAGCAACTGTAAGGCAGGGCTTATTTACGGTTTACTGGTCAGTACCACGACATAGCCAAGTTTAAAATGCTGAACTTGACCAATTCTTTTTTTTTTTGTGGTACTACTTTTTGTAAATGAAGAGTTTGGCTCTTGCCAGTTTTTAGGTTTCGAGAATCGTTGAGTCGACATTATTTTAAACTGGAAGATTTGGGGTCAATTCATATAGCTTATGCTTGATTATTAATGTTGACCTACATTAATTTAAGCGTTAAAGACCTAGAACAGATAAAATTTACTGAAGGATTTGTTAATCTTGATTCAAAAATTTGTATTTAAGGATGCGATCCGACCTCATTATGAACAGCAAAAACCAAATCTTACTTATACGGGAAGCATACAGTCACAAGACTTGTCGTTTTATTTGTGTCCAGAGCGTTACAAATTTTCTTGTATCGATATTGCTGTTGAAACGCCTGTTGTAAGTAACTTCTACCAGATCTTGCAAACTTTATGACGTGTTTGGTGTAATAGCGATGATGTCGCCTCAAATTATCATATTCAAGAATGATGCATTATCAGATTTACTAGAGTATTAATATCAGAAAAGTGTTTTTTTTTAATGAGCATACCATTGTGGTTATTCTAACAAGCATTGTTGCGTACCTAAACATATTTTACCATTTTACAATAATTTTTTAACTGTTGGATCACAAACTGGCATTACTCTAAGCGAATAAAAGCGTAGCGTTTATTTTGCCTGAAGTAAGTTGCAAGCTGTAATTTTGATGTCATACGCAGTCCTAGAATGCTTAGATTGCAAGTGCGTAAAAGATATTGGCGATGAGGCTATATTATGTTTTTTTTATTCAGTTAAATTTTATTAGCTTCAGTTACCTTTAGACACACTTGCTGATTGAATGGAATAGCAACACAGTTTTTCACCTTTTATTTCTTTTCTTATTTTCAAACTAGTTAATTGATTCATATAAAGCTTATTATGAGAATGTCCAGAAACGAGTTATTGATTGCTTGGAACCTAATCCAAATGCTCGGAAACGAGCATGGGCCAATTCAACTGTAAACAAGATACAAGGGACTTCAAGCAACGAAACTTACCCGCATGCAGAGAAGGCTCTTTCTGAATGCTTTCTGGAATATGGACGACAACTAAGCCAGCAGCAAAACTTCAGTAAGTTTTAACATTCAGAGAACGTGACTCATGTTAGTTTTTATTCTTTACCTTTGTCAAACTCTGCAAGTGAGTGATTATTCTATTCGACACTAACTCTATAGTAGGGATGAACTAGTTTATAGGCATTTCATGAAATTTCGCGTCTCAACTGGAAAGTGAACAGTCAAGCCTGTAAGTCTTAACACTTTATAAATTGATTCTAGTTTTACGACACGTCTTTGGCATTTGTTTCTCATGCATTTTGTGTGAATCTCAAGTTCTCTGACTTACTGAAAGTCTGAAACCAGTTGAGGTGTATATGAAGCATTCGAATTACAAATGGCATTCATGGAATGAGTGGATGAAACATTCTGGAAAATCTGATCTACGAAACCATTGTTATTTGATACATTAAATTTCCATTTACCAGCGCATGGCACAAGACTATGTAAAGACTTCTCCACTGCAGCATCCAGCTGTCGTCTTATACCTAAATTAGCCATATAGTGCAGGCTCTAGGATACCGTGGAATTTCGATAAAGTTAATACATTTTACCCAGTACTTATTACTGTTTCAACCATTCTTCATCCATAACTTGAAGCAATTTAGTTTACTGTTAGTAATTAGTTCTTGGGACAACATACTTTTACTCTTGTATCCAAAATCCTTGTCCGAATAGTATTTTAGTTTTATTCATCAAGCTAGCTACTGCGTTGTTCGGAAGTTTAAGCAAGTTTAGATCTCACCTGTGAGCGATACACTAAATATAACTTCAGAAAAGACTACTCTGATTCATCATCAAATTCTACCCTTGAAAGTATATTCTGCGATTTCGCTTCTTCTACGTACTTCGAAAAAATGCGTTCTAACGTTTTTAAGAAATTCAGTTTAATTATTTGCATTTATCGGGAGAGTAATCCTGTGTAGTCTCTAGTGGTTTTGGTTAAGTAATGTCGTAACTTAAGTTGCCTAATACTTCATACCCCAATCAGTAGTGTTTAACTTGGGTATTTATGTGAACTTATTACAGTTCTATTGGCATTGTTCTGAAAAATCTTCACACTTAAAGACCATGCACTTAATTCGTTGCATATATTTCAAAGGTTACCAATCTAGTTCATATAAGCTGACTGACTAATCCTCATTATTAGACCGAAAATGAGGAAAATCCTCTCTCAGAGATGTTGCTCAGTCGGCATTCACGACAGTTCGATCACATCTGTAGTTTGTAGCTAAAATCCTAGTACCGATTTCTTTTCATATAGGCTCATTGTTAAAGTCATTTTGTGAAAGTTCATCTTGGTGACTAGTAGTGAAATTCAGGACTCACGTTTCGTCCTATTTGGGACTTGTTAGCTGGATGTATCTGCACGCCAGTGAGTGATGTTCTCAATGAGACTTGAACCCTGTACGCAACGCTTCAAACGCCAAAGATTTATCTACTAGGCTTCTGGGACATCCCCATAGGAGCCCATCTGCCACAGAAGTCGAGCAGTTCAGCTCTATGTACGTGTATAAAAACAACATTTTGTGAATAGTTAAGCCGTTGGAAACTGGTTTCAGAGCTTGTCTCTGTTGCAAACCGTGTTGATCTAATGGTGCAACAACTTGCTTCTGCATATCATTAGTGTTCCTTGAACGTGGTTTTCCTCAGCTAATAACTTCTGTAGCCTAATGTCAACTTGATTCTTATGGAGTCACTATAGTCTTACATTTTCATATTTAATCCTATAAGGTAGTCTCGTAGCCCGGAAGTTGTTAAGGAATCAGCGAGGTTCATCATTTTGTTTTCATATCATATTTACTTCGGGATTTTTCTATATGAACATTGTAACAATGCTAAGAACTTACTTTACTATATTCGCTGTGGGTAGATTTAGGTATTAGTTTACTATCAGTATAATTTTTAGCAAGTAAGAGAGTTTCGTCACAACTTTTGTATTCACATTAGTTGCCAATTGTATCAACCACGTTTCATTTTAAGTAACTAGTAACCTGATGATAAGAATTAGCAGTTGGGAATACTCTGTGCTATTACTCGGAATCGGTCACGGCGACTCAGATGTATGCACTCTTTGTCATCTTCGAAAACTTGAGGGTTTTCGGACCATCATTTATTTATTCCTAGCTGTGTGATATTCGCTCTCTTGTAATTCATTTCTATTTACTATAATGTTATTCTTTGCCCCTTCACTTTTTTCTTGTATGCTGTTGTAAAGTGTGATAACTTGAACAATATACAATTCTGTGTCAGATTCATTACCCGTTTGTTTGTCTTTCTGATTATTAGTGTTGCAATGCATTAAGTTAGTCGTTGTCTTTATCTGGCCTGCATAACTTATGTATAGCTTATGTTTGGTTTCCATTATTGAATTCGTAGGTTTAAGGCTAATTTCATTTATTCTAATAAGTACAACTGATGAATAATATTAGCTATATGGGGGAGGAGCTTAGTAACCTAGTCGTTGGAATAATGACCACTCTCTTGCAGGTCCAAATCTACTCCATTTCAGTCTGGTTAAACAGACGATATCAGTATACCAAATGCTGTATTCGTAGCTTCTGGTGGAGTATACTAGTATGGACATTGTCAGCAAGATGTATTTTGTACGCATCACATTACTGATCAGGAATTTTTGACTTATATTTTAGCTTTATTTACAAAATGCTTTTTGCTTTCATTCCTTTCTAGTGCAGTGTATGACAAGATTGTATTAAAATCTTTGTATATTGAATAATCAAATAGTATTTTCTTGTTAATTTATAAGGTCTAGCTCTTATACGATGTGGAGAGGCATACAGCAGAATAGTTGATTCAAAGAACCAGTCGTTAGATGAAACAAAAACTGGTTACTTAAAACCTATATCTGAGACATTAAATCAGGATATCAGAGAGATAACAGTAAGTTCTTAGTTCTCTTTGGTGCATGGGACAGTTGCACTTCTACGCAACAATTAAACGCTGTACATGAATGTTGCTTCTCAGTTTTAGTTGGCCTAGATTATACTAATTAACAGTTTAATATTATGGCATTTTTAAAAATGTACTGAGTGTTAAAAATGAGGATAATAGATAGATAGTGGAACCCAAGAAGTATGTTCCTTCCTTTTTGGGAACTCGTCAGCTGGATTCACTTGCCTCCCAGTGACTGGTCTTGTTCTTGTTCGATCCTGGCACGCATCATATCAAACACTAAAGCGTTATGCACTAGGCTATGTAATTACGGTAGCCACTCCTTGAGCAACTAGTTCCCCGTCATTGATGAGATTGAACTAATCGATCTCTTTTGGCATACGGGCTCAAGGCATCTTCACAAAAAGCCCATATACCAATAATGACCAACTAGTTCAGTCCAGTCAACGATAAAAAGCTTCAAGCCAATATTGTACTGAATATTACTTTGTAATGTATAATGATGTATTAATATCACACATTTCGCCTAACTTGAGATGGATTCATGAACTAGAATAAAATACTCATTGCAATTTATTGAAAAGTCGTTGATGAGTTCCGAGTTGTTAAAACACTCATTTGGTCAGTTCATGATCCAAGGAAGCACTACTGGCCTCCAAAGATGCAAGTTACAATCTAATACATTATTAAATTTATATGTATTTGGATGCATAACGAAACTGATAAAAAGATACTGGAGTATAGAGAAGAGATAATTCAGCGAAGAATATTTTCTTTTTGCGACGATATCATTTTCCGAAGCTGTACAATCGTATTTATATATATATCATAAACATATAACAGTCTGTTATAAAACAATAGGGTATAATTACATCATTAACCTAGTGCTAAAAAACTGGAATCAAGAATGCAAAGTAGTTGCGCAATAAACTAAGACAGTAGAAATATTGAGGAAGGTAAGGAGTAAACGATAGACTAGCTGGAAAACAGATGGAATTTGAAGTGTATCATATAGTTAAGGTATGTACCAGTAACTGTTTTGTAAAATCTGTAGGAGTGAGTTGATCAAAGCCTTGATTCTACCTTCATCTAATAAATAGCACCAAATGGTAAGATGAATATCCCAGCATAGCTTGTAAAGTATAAGGAGTTGCTCTATTTCTGTTGGTTTGTTTTATTGAAATAATAGTGTTTTTGAAGTTCATTCAAGGTTTTTTGAGCCTAGTATTCTTATCATCAAATTATTGTCCATATTTATATCAGGTGATGTGAATATATAGACGATAAATTATGTTCGAAACGTTATTCAGTAAATGATACTGTTTTACTTTGTGATATTTCTAATAAACAGACTAGAATGCAATGACAAAGGAAATGGAAATAATCAAAAGGAAAAAACCCATAGGGCATAAACAGCTGAAAAGTGATGAATATAAGCATAGCGATAATAAGAGTAATAATGATAACAATACTGCATACAATGATAAGTATTGATGGCAGAATCAAGTGTGAAAGTCGTCACTATTGAAATCGATTTTGAAGCCTATCATCTAGTTTTTGTCAAAACTGGTTTCCATTATGATCCAAGCCTTAACTAGGACGCTTGAAGTACTTCCACATTCTGAGCATTGTTTCTTTATCTTGAATATTCTCAAATTCACAGGATACCTTGATGATGTCGGATTTGTGTTCAGTTTGTGATAGAATAGTAATATTCACATCGAAATGTATTATTAGTTAGGTTTCTTGAGATACAAAAGGATAAATGTAGCTAATTGATATTAGCCTTCATACTACAAACCATCGGTTCATAACTTCGAATTCCACTCCAGCTAATTCGTCTTGACGATACACGTCGTGGCGTATATCTTATGCTTTGTTACAATATAAATGTCGGTTCACACTTTTATTTATGTATATAATAATTGTATTTTTTATTTTATAGATGCTTCGAAAAAAAGTTGAAAATAAACGATTAACTTTTGATCATCGAAAGCATGTCTTAGAAAAAAGTGAGTGATGTGCGAATGTTTATCTTTTTTCTTGTCGCTTTCCTATATAAAAGCTGGGAACTGCGTTCCAGGTTTCTCCTCGTAGTCTTTTATCATTGTTATTGGATGCATTATCAATGAAGACCATTATGGATGGTCTGATTATACCAGTTCGTCACTTATTCTTTTACTCCATGGAACTTTACTCGGGGACAATTTGATCTGTTTGAGCAGTTGAAGGAAGAACAAAGTTTGAACGAATCTTCGTCTTGTAGTCACTCAGTAGCCGTATCTAATACTTGCATTAAAGCAGAGGCTTGATTATCAGTGAACAAACTAAGGGGTATCTTTCTAAAAATTGTCGTCATTTCTTTTATGTTTTTGTTATTTCTTCTTTGTTTTCGTTTGTTGAGCAAAATATGATTCATAGTAATCTAGTCAGGTCTGACTGGTTGTCATAGCAGCAGTTGAGTACTACTGTATCTTTAGACATTGAACATATGTACCATTCATACTGCTAACGATAACTATACCTCATCAGTTTTTATTTGCCGGTGATTCTGGTTCTTCTATTATCACCTCCCCTCATCTATTACCTGTTGCAGTTTTCCAGTACATACCTACATATTTTTTCAATGGATTTTATGTTCATGAAGTCTTATGGCAATGTCTCTCACTGAAAGGCGTGCCGAGTAAGTATATCACCTTATTGAAGACTATCTACTTGAACACTTGTGGACGTATTAGAGCCTATGATGAAATGTTCGGGGAGCTGTGCTCATCGAGTAGTGTCCGTCAAGCGTCCCCACTGTCTCCATTCTTATTCAACTTTATCATAGATATTCTTATGGAGGTCTCCTTTTCATCATATGACTTCACACAGGTTGACCTGATCGTGGGAGAATTTTTGCTAGACCTGGAGCACGTGGATGACACAGTCCTGTTAAGTAAAGACGCTGACAAGATGCAGAGTATTCTGAACACTGAGTGGCAATTCGAGAATGTTTGGGAATGTTTGCATTTCTCACCACCAAAATGCAAATTGTTGCTCCAGGATTGGTCTTCAACGGTGCCTCATTGTAGCTAACATTAGAGATTGTAGTGAATGGGTGTGTCGACCACTTGGGAAGTAGGATCAGTCCTACCCTGATGGCTCATTGGCCGATGAAATATCCGCACGGATACCAAAATTTCGGCTGGCTTTTGCCAACACTTACGCCACCTATGGCACCACCGTGATATCCATCCGATTGTCTATTAAGGGTTGCCTGTACTGCACAGCAGTCCGCTCTGTTCTACTTTATGGCTGTGATACATGGCCATCAAAGGTGAAAGATATGAAAAGGCTTCAGGTGTTTGACAACCGTCACCTTCGTAGAATAGGCCGTATTCGTGGTATCATCACTTGAGTAATGCGGAAGTCAGGTGTAGATTTTTAGGGAGAAGAGGCAAGTCAGTTGACGAGGTTATGAACCTTCATCGACTGAGATGTTAGGTTCCGACACGTGTTATCTATACCTAATCACCGATTGCCTTGTCACACAATGTTGCGCGAAGTAAGTTCAGGCTGGAAATAGGCCCGAGGCTGCCAGACTGAAACATGGCACCAATATATGAAGTGTTTGACTGTTGGTTTGAGCCATGTGGGGTGATGCAGACTGGGTGGTTGGTGTCGACGAGACAAGAGAAACCAGTGGTTGGAGACTGACTCCAGGTGATCACATGGCTGAGAACCGATGATGTCAGTTGAGCAGATGTATATACACATTATCCTCATCTTAACGATGCTGTACCGAATCTCACCACTTTCTCATTCTTCCTTTCTTTCTTTTGGTACCTTATATTTCATTTGACTGAATTTTCTTATCTTCATCTTGCACCTCACTACCTTTTTACTTGATGTACTGATATGAGCTGTGGCAACTCGGACCGTTACTCAGTAATGCCTAGTCCTATGTTGATTTGGATGAATCAAGTCAATCATTCTTTCTGTCTGCTTTCATTTCAATAAAAGTTTATCAGCAAATCCTTGTATGTGTAAGTTGGTTTACAAGTATTTTACTGTCTATCACTTTAAACTTCTTCCTCTTTTTTATGCACAGTTTACAACTTTACGTAATACGTTGGTGTTTTCTAAGATAAGCATCTCTTATAAATGCATAAGTGGTGAGAATCTTCACCTGTTTATTTAATATACATCATTTTGAATTTTGCAGCATAATGAAGGTGGTTGTGAATTACTTGCTCATACTGATAATTTTGCAGGTTTGCCTAATTTACAAGACATCTGTCATAATGAATGAATCTCTTCCGAAGAAATGGTTGTAATCAGGATCTACTGAACATCGTTTTCTTCTAGGTATAGAAATTTTTAGTTGTGGTTCATTTGTGTAGATAGTTGACTTTCAGTCAATAGATCATGGGTCCGAACTTCTCCGCACCTACTGTGGTTTGAACAACCAGGTGGTACCATTAGCCCTCATACAATAGATTTGGTTCATTGCCTAGTCCAGGAATATATGTACGTGGTTACTGAAAGCCTATTGGTTTCGTTTATCTTGATCTAAATTTTGAATTTCTGCCAGCCAAACAGTTTTCACTTCGAGATGTGATAGTTTTGGTAGTGCCAGTGGAGTATATTTCCAGTTAGTGTAATCATACTTATAATACGGTTTGCAAATAACTTTTACTACATTCATGCGTATATTTATTCGAATGTGTATGCTTTTGAGACTATTTTTTATTGGTTAGGTCGCTTCTTTTTATGTTGTATGCTCTTTTTTTTCTTCACCTATTAATGCACATATTTACTTAATTCTTTTTCTTTGATTTACTCATGAATTTATCATCATCTGATGGAAAATAGCAAATTCTCAACCGGATGAAGCATTTGAAGAGGCGAAATGTCAGTTTGAAGAGTCGTTAACAATTAGTTCAAAGGCGATGTCAAACTTTTTGGATGGTGAAGTAATCATTTATATTTACTGTCGTTTTATATGTACGGTTTAATAACCTCTTACCGACCTCTGGTCTACGTTAATAGTCATATTTATGGAGCGCAGACTAACAAGACTTCCCGATTAAGTAGGCTGAAGGAGATCAAGTTTCTTAGACAATATACGCCCAACATTTCACACAGGATTAATTTGAGGAATTTCGAGTCTCCCGAAGAGACACTTTGACGTTGAATTACGCGGAGTTAAAATCTAGTAGCCAGTATCCTTCGACTGCAGACAAACAATGCACGATTCAGCATGATTACTATTCAGTTTTATATAATGGAACTAAGGTTTCGAAGTTCAAATTTCTGAATTACACATAGTAATTGCGGGATTTTCTCTAATAGCAGTGTCATCTATGTAGTAATAAGTAGTGGCCATTGTTTGCGTTATTTAGCAGTTTTGTTTTTCTTAATAGAACAGACGTTAGTCAGTCATGTAACTTTCATTTTCATACTATGGAGACATAAGTAGGTTTCACATGTAGCTCAAAGTAGTGTCTATGCCCTTCAGCCAAGTTGGTTATTACCTTAAGACTAATAGAATAGTTGTTACGTATTAAATCAATTTAAACATTTTCATTGGTTGTGTTTGTAAGGGTCTAGTCCCTGTTCTAAAAGAAATATTTTAATTCACCCTCTTGACAGATCACATGGTCGTACAAATGAATTTGAAAAGATTCCAACCAACACTGTTTATGTCTAGCCTACTGGAAAGTTCAACTAAGTTGACCTCTAATTCGATCTCATTCCAGTTTAGATAACGACAGTGTCATATGAACTTTCTGAGTTTATTCATATGTTTTTCAGGTGCTGAATGATATGCTTTATGATTTATCGTTATTAACTGGGGTAATAACTAATTTATTATCGAGGATGGAGGTGGGAAATTACTAATTAAAGTGACGAAGGTGCTAGGTAGTGTATGGGAATCTGATGTACTGCCATCATACTGACCAACTTCTCTAATCATCCCAATCTATAAAAAACGAGATAACTCTTCATATGACAATCACGGAGGAATTAGTATGACTAATATCGTGTCCGAGATCACAGCACCAGTAGTTGTCCAACGCCTTACTAGAAATCGTGAACGACAAAGTTGAGAAAACCAAACACAATGCAGACCTGGTCGAGGGTGCGTCGATCAGATTTTCACCCTCCAACAGCATACTGACTAGTCGGTGATTGACACTTGCTATACTTCTCGATCTGCAGACGGCATCTAACTCAGTCAACTGTGAGGTGTTGTGACAGTGTCTGACTGTGAAGGGAAAATCGAGTAAGTATATGACGCTTATCAAAGCTTTCTAGATGAACTCACGCAGCCATGTAATGGTTTATGGAGAGTTATCATCAGAATTGACGACAATCAATGATGTCATCTTTCCTATTTAACTTCATCATAGACGTATTGATGGACATAACCTTAGGTATATCTCACTTTACAGGGATTGATCTACTCCCTGGAGGCTATCTAGTTGGTTTGGAGTATGCAGACGATTTTGTCCTGTTAGGTGAAGACCCTGACAGAATGCAGCGTCTTCTGAACACGTTGAGCAGAAATCTGACGACGATGATGCTCTAGGACTGGTCTGTAAATACTCCCAGATTAATGATAGGGAGTGTTAAGTTGTGGCTCATTGTTTTGGGGAGTTTACTTTCAACCAAGTGGGTCAGGGGTTCGAACGCCGCTCCACCTGCCGAAGTTTGAACAAGCAGGTAGTATCGTCAGCTGTGATACAGTAGATGTGGTTCATTACCTGTTGCACGAATGTGCACAAGGTAGCTGAGTGGTTTTCGGTTAGGTTCTTCGGTGATAGTGTAGTGGTGGGATGCGTTGACCACTTCACTTATTTGGGGAGTTGCATCTGCTGAAATGGATTGGTTGCTGACGAAATCTCAGCTTAGATGTAAAAGGCTCGCTAGGCATTTGCCAACTTGCGTCATCTGTTTCGCTGACTGGCGAGATATGCGACTATCTATCAGAGAATGTACATCCTGCTCTGGACGTGAAAGCTTAACAACACTTATACACCTATAGCCTTGAGATCATCTGGTTAGTAAGCCACCACTTGAACTGATTTATGGTTTTAATTGAATAAAAGTGTTCTCAACGTGGATTAGCTGTTTGCAGTAGTGCTTATAAATCGTATATTTGAATAAATTCAGCTCAAATGGTTCAAATCAGTTGGATCTAGCCAAATAACTTGAATAAATCAGTATACTTATGGATTGTTACTGTACTGGCTATGTTTTTTATTGTCTTTAACTCCCAAAAATTACATGACTGTCAGTGACTATCATCTATCTTCATCGTGTAATATGCTTTCAAACAATCATTGAATATGCTTTTATCCACTTGGCGTTGAATTACTCCTATCAAATTAACTTAAATTGCCATGATATTAATCTCCTAATTGTTAATAAGCAAAATACGATGAAGTGTACTGAAGAACTCAAGTTCATTTAATTGACTATGTGAACAATCGGTATTAATTTTTGTTTATGACACTACATTTGTTCTTGTTATTCTTCTTGCTCCCTTTTACCACTATAATAGCCGAAAATACACGGATATTCTCTGCACAAACCCTGTCTGCTTTTTCACTGGTGCCCTATTTAAGTATCTCACTGGATGACATAAATAATCTGACATCAATCTTATCTACTATCACCATGTATGAAGGTGTAGACTGTTTAGTTAGAGTCCCTGAGGCGACAGGAATCAATGGTTCAGGACTCTTGGTGAAATGGCTGAAAACTGATCATAGTGGTACAGATGTATTCACTTCTTAATATCTCCTAAAGCTTGAATGTTTTGACTAGCCTTAATTTTTAAATCCCCCCATCATTCCATACACCCTTTTCTACTTTGATTTCAGTCTATCATATCCACTTATTCTTTGTTGTATACTACTGTGAATTGTGGCAACATGAGATGATTCAGTTGTGTGCGAGGTTCTACTTTGCTTATATTTGTCTGTTTTATCCGTTAATGGATTTCATTGGTTAACCAGGTCCGGGTGATATCGATGGTCAGACAGATGTTTTACTCAGTTGAAAAAGATATTCAGTTTATAGGTTTGGATAATTAAAAGTAGACTTAGTATTTCATGAAACAGTTACTGGAAGCTGGTCATTGGATTGCTCATTCCTCAGCTATTTCTCAAAGTTTTTGTCGTCAAGGAATGCGATATTGCCATTGTGCTAAGTAACTCAGCATCTTAATAAATCTTATTTACTATTAAATGTTTCGAATCAGTAGGCAAGAAACCTTTGGATTCTTGTTGAAATTTGTCAATAAAGAATATCGTACAATGTTCAGAAGATCCAAATTCTTCTGAACTATTAAACAGGTATCAGTCAACACGGTTGTCGAAGTAGCTATTGCTAAGCCATTCATCCCGACTTCCAATGATTGTTACACCAGTACCATTTTCAGTTAATGATACTATCTCTGATTTCGTTATCTGACAATCTTATTATAACTATGAGATGTTTTAGAAAGCCTATGAATAAGTTGTACTATTTTCATTCTTACTTTTATAGTGTGCATTACTACTGTCACATGCTTACTTATTTAGGTATCATTGCTGACTGATGTATGAAATGAGTACTATTTTACGCTTTTTCGTCATATGACCCTTTAAAAAATTTAGTTGAAACCTGTTTAGATTTTTAATTTTGTATTCAGTGTTGACTGGGTGCAATCGATATTTTGTAGTCGACCGATTATATGACTATTAGAAAGCAAGATATGAAGCCAGCGTATATCGGTTTGAAACTGTATATTACCCTGAGGTCTGGAAACAGAACGGAATGCCATTATCCACCTTGTGAGCATCCGTGCAATAGACAATGAGACACACCTATTTTGTGAGGGCTAGTGATACTACTTGACTACCCAAACCTCGATAGGTGAAGCGGGGTTCGCATCAGTGACCTTCTGGTTGATAGTCATCTCCCTAAGCCACTGAGCCATAGATCCACACCCTGAGGTCCACACGTAACTATCCAATGCTAATCATACATATCCATAATTCTAGCGTGTAAGCTTAATATTTATAGTTTAGTGGCCTCTTGTAGTGTTTTGTCATGATTTTTCTCTTTAGCCATACATCAAAAGTTGAGATAAAAAATGAACTAGGATTTGAAACACATGTTCCAATCGTCTTATTTGGAGTAGGTTCTCAAAATGCTCGAATGATTTGCATGGATCGTTTAAAATGACAATTAACTTGGTAGTTCCACTACACGCCAACAGTGCTTCAAAGGTTATTCTGAGAAAATCTCTATATCCTCCACTTGTTCATCCACTTTAAAATCACACATTTCAAAGTCATATACCAGAATAGTACATATGATTATTGATATTAGGTGATGAAGGCTAAATAAAAATTTGGACCGTAGCCGGATTCGAACCGGCGACCATCGGGTGTTCTACCAACTAAGCTACGAGGCCCGACTACTGACCAGATTTTTATTTCACGCTGATCATCACAAAGTATCAATAATCATATATACTATTCTGGTGTATGCCTTTGAAATGTGAGATTTTAAAGTGGATGAACAAGTAAAGAATATAAAGACATATTCAGCTAGATTTTAATTGGGATGAGAAGCCCTGATTGGGCAGCCAGTGTGAGTACGATCAAACGGTATTAACGCATCACGAATACACATGGTAGTCGGGCAAAACGCTTGGTAATTAAAGTGAAATAAAAATCTGGTCAATAGTCAGGCCTCGTAGCTCAGTTGGTAGAGCACTGGACCGGAAACCCGGTGGTCGTTGTTACGAATCCGGTCGCAGTTCAAATTTTCATTTCTCCTTTAATCATCACCCACTATCAATGGTAGTCTGCCAAACTACGGTTATCTCAAATAGTTAAAATGATCAACATATGATTATATTGTATGAATGCTGAAACAATAAAAGTAAAGATGAATGAAGCCAAATTTATTTGGAGGATATGCACATGATATTGTCGTTGTAACTTGAACCTCTTATTACTATGTTTATTTGATATTTGGGAATCTCAGTGTACTTTTAAAATAATCGAACAATGAATAAATTCCATGGAATAAATGAAGTTCACTACTATTGACCACTTACGTATAAAAAACAGCACATATTTGGTCACTGTGATCAACTTTTTACCTGACAAAACTATAATGCTAAATATGCATTCCTAAAGCAGTTGCCAGTCAGTCATCTCTAAACATCATCGAAATTAGCAGAAAACTGATTGATTTAAATTCAACAACTTCATTTAATGTCTAGAAGGATTCATATCATCCAGAGTCAATCATTAAACTCTGTGAGATAATGCTTACAGATCACAAAGTCACTATTGTTTCAAGGTGTAGCATGAAAACTGCTTGCTAAACAACTCACTTCCAAGAAATGTTATTTTAATAATATTTTACTCTGAAGTGGTTGCTATATGGAATTTATCAAAGTATGAATGAATTCTACTGAAGAAAATGTGTCCCAGGGAACGTTTTGAAAATTTTGACCTGACTTATTTAATATTGGTAGATATTTAGAAGTTGCTGTCACAAAGTAGGATATTATAAACCACTTAGTGGACAGACACATAATCCTTGTGATGTAAGACTTTTTTCATTGAGTACTGGAATCATCGGAGACGTTAAACTTTGCTTATTTCACCTAATATTTAGGGAACGATACTTCCAGTAACAAGTTTTCAACTTAAAGACTATGTAAATGTGAAAGGTTTTTAGCATTATCTTTATTACAGATCATTTTTGGTCCTATAGAATATTAGTAGATTTATCGCAGAATAGTTTAAGTGCTCTATTCTTACAGTTCTAAGATCTATTCTATCAACTTTATTAATTTCATATTTCATGGCGATTCTAACTAATATTTACTTTTGTCACAGCCTATGATGTTGATGTTCGCTTTTTTAACTTTTGTCTTTTCAGCCAGGTAGTGCCTATCAATAACATTTATGGGTTTTCTAACTTATAAGCTCTAATATATGAATCTGTCAAACAAACAAAGTCAACATGGAACCTCGCATACAGGTGCATCGGTTCAAGTTGCCATACTTCACAAAAGCAGGTGGATAGTATAAGAGTGATACTTAAGTAGACGAGGTTGTGTTAGAGAATAACCAATTTGAAGAATATAAAGGCTAGCAAAAACATTCAAGCTTGAGATGTCAAGGAGTGAATACATCTGCACCACTGTGACCGATTTCCAACCATGTTTCCAAGAGTCCTCAACCCCTGATTGTTGTTATGTCGGGGACCCTAGTCAGACAGTCTACATCTCCTCATCACATGGTTGAGACCAATAGTTAGGGATTTCATGGGTTAGTGTCAGGTCTTGGTGTGACCATCGTGAAGCCTCGTCAAACTTATCCAGTAGCAGTATCCGATAGCATTGTGTGTAGAAGTAGTCGGTGGGTCGGCATGTGCAGTACATGTTGAAATGATCTCAGTCAATCAAGGTTCACAACGTCACCAATGAACTTGCATGCCTTTTCTAGTACCTTTCGCCTGACATCAACATTGCTCACAGAGTGATTCCACCAGAGACGAGCAATGCTGCGAAAACACCTGTGATGAAAACCCTATAACCGCTTCATGTCTTCTACTTTCAATGGCCATGTCTCCCAACTGTATAACATGACAGAATGAATTTGAGCGCAGTATGCTTGTCCTTTGATAGGTAGTCACCAGTGGGCACCACAGACGACGCAAATTGGCTGAAGTGAACAAGTGGAATAAGACTGAATGCCGTGATGCACTAGAAGTGAATGCTAGTCTGACTATTCCCCCTCGGCACCTTATTCTTCACTGAGTCATGCAAAATCAAAAGACGAAGACTGACCTGTGACTGCAAGGACAACTTTGTTTGATAAACTATAGCACATGAATACAATTCCCACATATAAGAATGTCATAGGCAAAGACAGAATAACACAATCTTACTAGCCACATCACATACAGAATCGTCCAATAAGGTTATTTTGTCCACATATAAACATAAATCAAAATCTGAAGCCAAAACACTTCTACCCGAATGGCCGATGACTTAAAATGTTGATTTACATTTCCCGGCCGCTTCCTATCTTTAGCAAACACCAAATGGGCCTTCTCTATTCTGGCTGAGATTTCATCAGCAACCAACCTGTTTGAGCTGGTTCAACTCTCCAAGTAAGTGTTGTCGATACATCCACCACTTCACTTCCTATCCTTAAACCAGTTGTTAGAGACTAGTTCTGAAGCATCATCTTACATTTAACAGGTGTGAGGAGGCCAAACAGACTCCGATTTCTGCTTAACGCTTTCAGAAGACGCTGCATTTTGTCAGAGTCTTCACCTAGGAGGATATTGTCGTCTCCATACTCTATGTCAACGAGATGACCTCCAGGGAGTAAGTCAATCCCTGTGAAGTCAGACGTATCTAAGACTACATCCATTAGTACGTCTATGACGAAGACGAATAGGAACCATGAGCTTTGACATTCCTGGAGGACACCATTGATTGTCGTCAATTCTGATGATAACTCTCCGTAAACCGTTAGATGGCTGCGTGAGTTCATCTAGAAAGCTTTGATAAGCGTCATATACTTACTCGATTTTCCCTTCACAGTCAGACACTGCCACAATACCTCACAGTTGACTGAGTTAGATGCCGTCTGCAGATCGAGAAGTATGGCAAGTGTCAATCACCGACTAGTCAGTATGCTGTTGGAGGGTGAAAATCTGATCGACGCACCCTCGACCAGGTCTGCATTGTGTTTGGTTTTCTCAACTTTGTCGTTCATGATTCCAGTAAGGTGTTGGACAACTACTGGTGCTGTGATCTTGGACACGATATTAGTCATATTAATTCATCCGTGATTGTTATATGAAGAGTTATCTCGTTTCTTATAGATTGGGATGATCAGAGAAGTTGGTCAGTATGATGGCAGTACATCCATTTCCCATACACTACCTGGTAACTCTGTCATTTTAGTGAACAATGTCTTACCTTGATCCTTTAAAACGTCTAGTGACAGACTATGAGGTCTTGGTGATTTGTACCATTTTGAGCTCGCCACAGCTTTTTCAACTTCAAGGGGAGTTGGTGAACCGACATATGCCTCCCATTCTGGTTCACGTTGAATGTTGGACAACTGAAGTGTTGTCTTATGCCAGCTCGATTTCGCTTCAGAGCTTTGCACTCAACGTTTAGTCGTCTGCCCTGAGTCGTTATGATCATCTGATCGTTTTTGCTGATGGTTTCACTGACCATCACTTTCTTCTTGTAGGTTTCCTCAATGGGTCTATACAATTGCTGGTAGTTTATGTTGAATGTGAGTGGGTTTAATGAGCGAAGTGCAAAATTATCTAACATAACATTTTCGTAATACACTGTCAAAGTCAATGAGAATAGTTTCGGACTTCGGTTTTACTTGGGAAATCCTTGTATATAAAGAAAAACTGATGGAACACCAAGTCTTTCCTCCTGTACCTGTTCATTCTTTTTCCTGACCATGACTGGGATAAAGGTTGTACAAACTTCTTTTGAATACAGTTATTCGAATTGTTCATTCATATTCTTATAGCCTCAGCAATATATAAAAGGTGAATTCTTTTATGCTTCATTGTAATGCATTAATTTTACTTTTGCTATACTTACTGCCTGTTTCATACAACTGATATTTGAATTCATTAAGGTTGAACAAATTGAAGCACTGTCGAATTTGGTTACTGCTCAACTAAGTTTCTATCAAGATGCTGTTCGAATATTATCTGATTTACAAGGTGAACTACAAACTAGGTAAGTTGAAACGATGATGATATTTAGGTGAATTTTTTTCCATATGAACAAACTGTTAGTAAAGATAGATATGGTTTAGGAGATAAATTTTTTTAAAACTGTAGTATATAATACATCGCAATCTTCTGGAAAGATTCAACAATTTATCCTTTTGGATTGCATAAACTGTTAATTTATCTTCACAGATGCTTGAACCTCTGTTTATACTCACGAGTTCATTTTATATGCTGTAACATTAACACACTATGTGATTACTTCTCAAAAAACTGGATATACATCACTGCCATTCACTCTTTCACTGTATGAAAGTGAGATATGATTGTTTAAACTTGACAGTTTAGGCAGTCTGTAGATATTTGATCATAGGTATCTTTGTTCCCGTGTAGTGAAATTGGTGAACATTTTGATAGTAACTAATCAGAATGGATCGTTCCTCATTTTTAAGGCCACTTATAGCTTTATGGATTGAATACCTCCAACTTATTGAGGTTATTGGTAGATCCTGTAGAATAACTTTGGATTCTCGGTGATATGGTTCAAAATTAGTTACAATGACTAAAGTGTTTGCATACTTTATGATACATATTCAAAAATTTGAGCATCTCTACTAATTTTCATTTATGTTGACTCTCTTCTGTGATATACTTTCTGCATTTTTATTGTCATTCTTTTTCGATTTACTTCCTCTCTGTACCCTGCTGTAAAGCGTCGCAAGTTGAACTGATACACTTCTGTGCAAAGTTCAACATTGATTTGTCTATCTGTTTGGAGGGTAGATGGTCGAATCCATATTTCTTCTACGCATCTCTTCTAGGGATAGTTTAATCTGTCAAATGAGTTCAAACAACTGTATGCTATAACCTACCATTATTACTTCATCTTTTCTACATCCTCATGGGGAAAATTCACTGTGAAAACTCTTGTTCTACTTACTTTGAAGCTTCAGTCGTTAATTGCATCCTACAATTAACTAGAATCAATTTTCGTACCGTCTAATTTTTGGAAATATTTGTTTTCTGAATATTTACATGTGAAGCAAGTGATATGTTTCGGTAGTAGCTGACAGCCACATGTCACCTATCCAGTTGATGTGAACTTCCCTTTTTCTTGGGATCGGGGCTGCTCAATAACAAAATTTTGTTGAAGTAAAGTTGTAGAAATCAGACTAGGACTTCAAAATACTGTTAGTGTTTCCTTTTGTTTAGCTTCTCCTTCCTTTACTTTGGCATAATGTTTAGATGTATGAAACTCCAGTGCGCATTTAGCAGAGAAGTTTTATCAGTTTAAGAATATTCTTCCTTCCACACGATTCTATCTCATATTTCTCAAATACAGAAGTTGAGTTGAAAATGACAGATATGGTTGTTAGGGCGAAGAAGAAAGCAGAGACAAAGTTGGGGAAAGGTAGATGATAGATTGGAAGACTTGTTACTGTGCTGCTGGTGATAATTACTAGCCATAAAGGAAAGAGATTAGTATTTTCGTATCCAGTAAATCCGAAAAACAGTTTGATACCAATCATATTCAATCATTTTATTGTAATTCTGTTAGCTTAATCGAGAACTTTACCAACGTCATTAAAGTAGAAATTGAAGCGTTTAGGGTCTGTTTTTCGTATTTTCTTCTCTTCCAAAATATTTAAACTGAATCTGTGGAAGTTCTCAGGTGAAATTGTGGTGTCACTCTATTTTATAGTATAATTTCTTCTCTAGGTCTCTATCATAGTAGGTTTATTTGCACTACGAGAGTGACTAACTTGATCTTGATACCGTACAGCTAATATTCTTCATGAAAGAAAACCTAAAGCGATATATGATGTAATTAGTATGCATAGGGTTTCAACTATCTATCAATTAGAGTTTTATGGAATTTGTTTAAATCATAAATCCATAGGAAGTCATTTATTGTGTGCTGCTTCAACATAGAACCTCGACCAGAAGTACATCGGTTCAGGTTGCCACACTTCACAGTAGTAGTATACAAAGAACAAGTGATATCAAAGTAGACAAAGTAGTATGAAAGAATAAAGGTTAATCGGAATATTCAACGTTTAAAAGATGTCAAGGAGTGAATACATCTGCACTATTGTGACTGATTATCAGTTATATTTTCAAGAGTCTTAAACTGCTGATTCCTATCATCTTGTGCACTGTAACCGGGAGGTAGTTTACATCTTTGCTTGCTGTGGTATACATATAAGAGGGGATTATAACAACATTTTATTAAATGTAATACTGATGAGTTAATCTGACTATAACTGACTTGTACATAAAACCACAAACTACTCACTATGTTAATGGACAGTTATAATTCATTGAATGATTTCCATTTTTGATTTGAATGGATTAAACAAAATGATTCAACTTCACTGATTAGCATCAATAAAATTAAGATTTCTCATCGATTCATGTTGTCGTTTTTTTCTTTGACAAATCATTTAACCTTGTTGTATTGTGTAGTGCATACTAAGGTTAAATGCTGGACAATAGAAACTGGAATAAAGTTGTTCCGTTTTTTTTAAAATTGTTGTTGATAGCACATATACAATTTTGTATAAAATTCATTTTTATTTCTTACTGTTCTTGTTATTTCTCAGATTGTTAGATGCGTAAGTTCTGGCATAATTTGTATTCAAAGTGTTATAAGACTAGTTTGTATTGTGCTAACAGTCGATTGCGTAAAGAGAGATCAATAGTTCTTACTACTTATTATTACTTTGGATAATTATGATAGTTGACAGTCATATAGAAGGATGATATAGACTCCTGTATGATTTTGTATCCGTTTGAGTTACTATAGTTCAGGGCAGTTATATAGCCAGGGGAAGATGAGAACATGCAACTAATACAAATGGTGGTGGCGGGAACACTGGCGAAAAAAGCTGACAAAGTGTAGTCAAATATACAGTAAAGAAAAAGATATCTCAAACTGACAGGTATCATTACAAAAGATTTTTTTACCATTTCACCTAAAGTTCACAACTATCAAACAGATAGACAAAGTCAACGTAGAACCTCGCATACAAGTACATCAGTTCAAGTTGCCACACTTCACAAAAAACAAGTGGATTGAATAAGACATATTAAAGTAGACGAGGTTGTGTTATAGAATAACCAATTTGAAGAATATAAAGGTTAGCACAAATATTCAAGCTTCAGAAGACGTTAAGGACCAATTTTCAGTCATATTACTAAGTGTCCTCAACCAATGACTCCTATTATCTTGGGGACCCCAGTCAGGCAGTTGACATCCCCCACACACCACTCAGACCAACAGTTAGGGACTTCATGGATTGATGTCAGGTCTTGGTCTGACCATCATGAACTCATTTCGGATCTAATCCAACTTACCGTAGCATTGTACGGTGGCTGGATATGCGTAATACATGTTTAAGCCATCTCAGTCGACTAATTTCCTATAGTCTATCGAGAAAAAACTGTATATAACTCTTCGATTCTCAAGTGAACCCTTCCTCTATCGCCTTATTCATAGTAAAATAAAATTATTCTAGTATTTCTGAGTATTTTTATTGAATAACCGATATTTGAATAAAAATTTGTCTGTTTGTTTAGTATGCTGCTAATGTGACTAACAACTAACTAGCTGACTGCTGTTTGCTTCTTTATTCTAAATGTCGGGATTCATATTTCTCGAATATAATTTTATTGTGTGAAAAGCAAACAACAAAATAATTTGTCAAACAGAGAGATTAACAAATTGTTTTCTTAAGATACAAGTAATATTATTAACAATGGAATGCTTTTTTTCTCTTCTTCTCTTCATGTTACATTTGTACATTCTATGTGAATTTCACACACACACACGCACACACACATATGTATGATTTACATCAACGGAATTGTATAAGTGAGTCGTCAGCACACTCTTTCTTTACAATTCACACTACAGTGAGTGAACTGTGGGAAGGCAGTATTTACTTGGCTTGAAGAGATCATTTTACATCGGTATTTTAGAGTTTGTACTTACGTATGTATGTATGTATGTGTGTATATATGTATGTTGCAGTTACTAGTTGGAAAAATTGAAAACACTGTGGAATCGAGGCACACTAGTGGATTGATTAGTTCAATATGCTTCACTGCGAAACAGTGAGACACATGAAAGTCAATATAAAAATCTAATAGAAAAACATCTAACAAGCTTTTGATGTTTATATCATCATTCAGCTCTAATTTATGCTAGATAAGGCCTCTCTTATTTAATGCATTATATCTCATCCTTCGAAACACATTCACGATACCGAACAAACGATGAATGAAACTCTCTCGACCCACATGCATTAAGCAATGAGCCACACCTATGGTGTGAGGGTTAGTGATACTATCTGGTTGCTCAAACCTCGATAGGTGGAGTGGGGTTCGAACCTGCTACCCAATAGTTGATAGTTATCTCCCTAAACCACTGAATAACCACAACTTCGAATACGATACCACTAACAGCATAATTCTTATTCAACGTAAGTACCTGATCATTATCTTGTTCTGTTCACTTTGAGGTCTTAATCCAAGGAAGATAGTAAATGAGCATGCATAACACAATATCTTCAACATCTTAGTTCAAGATAACTATCTTGAGACTGATAAACCTCAGTCATGCTGACTGAGTTCTTTTCTTGCACAGAAGAGTTGCTTCAAATATACTGTTATACTCTTCATTTTTTCCTCAGTTGTCTTACCTATTGACCATTTATTGTAATGGAATACACTGCTAGTCTGCAGGGTAGAAATATACTTGACAATTTGGCCACTTCTATCTGAGTCGTTTTATATCCATAAAAGTGGTGTGATTGAGGAATAAACACAAGTACACTGGTCGGTTACTAAAGAGTAATGAATATCATATCCACTTCTGAGTGCCTATTAGACCTGATTGTTTATTTTGACAGTGTGGTCATCTCACTAGGAGAATTGACCTTATTTAGTGTCAGATGATTGTAATTAAGCCGCAGAAAACCATGAACGTAGATTTTCTATTTTTGAGACTCATCTACTGGATATAGTTCATTGATAGCTTTTTTGTCTACACCATCGGCTGGTACTTGTTCGAATCTCTAATGGAACATTAGTCTTCTTGCTGTTTCTAATGCGTATTAACAAGCATAAAGGTAGGTTCACATTTGTCAGCTGATTGCTTCCCGTTGTTTCAGCATCAAATATAAATGGCGTTTTGTTTTCTCTTGTCAACTATTAATCGTCATTTATCCATAAATATTTACCACAAGGTTTCTGCAAAACAGTATACTGATGTAATATCAACTTCATTTCTAGTAAACCCTTAAGTCTACAATTCTTCATTTTTTACGGATTATCTGTGTGCATATCTGCAGTTTTGAGAAGCTAATATCATTATGTATCAGCGAATAACTTATAATTCAAGGTGGGAATGTTAAACAACTGCCGGAAAATTTTTTAACTCTAGCAGTGAGGTTTTGACTGGTTAAAACATACAGACTATACCTTCGAACTGTGCTCACTTTAAGTATTCTGTAAATTCTTACTCAGTCATTTTCAATGGATATATTTAAATGACATTATCTACTACTTTATCCAGATCAACCAAACTTCACACTATACATCAGCCTTCCACCGGGTGGGCAGTCGGGAAGTGTCACAACTCTGTCAGCACTCTATTTCCGTTCAGATTATTATCACCCTTCCACACTAAATACTTATTTACATGGTATACATAAAGTTTGTTTTAAAATCATCATTATGTGTACATTATCAACTATAGAAGTCTTTTCCAGGTGTGAAGCACGTTGTATTACTGTACAATGTGATGAAACCGTCTACTCAGTTCATTTTCACGGCTTTTACTATATAATGACCTTTGTAAACATCTTAATAATCTTAGTAGTTTACTTGGTTGTGGCTAGCAAAGGAATCCAGGACGTGTGTTTCGTACTATCTAGGACTCATCGGCTGGATGTACCTCCACCCAAGTGAATGGTGTTCCCACTGAGACTCGAACCTCGTGTCCAAAGCGTCAAAGCGTTATCCACTAGGCCACTGAAGCACAATAGCCACCTCTTGTACAATGGGTACTAGTTATAACTATTTATTGATATACTTGTAATTCTCCATTTTACGTTGGGTCGAATTGTTCTACCTCTGTTGGCATATAGGCTCTTATACAGATGCCTCGATATTACTTGACTGTTTATTATGGTAATTTACTTGGTTGTAACTAGCAGAGGAATCCATCACTCATTGAAGTACAGGTACATCCAGCTGACGAGTCCCGACTAGGAGGAAACGCGCGTTCTGGATTCATCCGCTATCCACAACGAAGTAAGTTATCACAATAAATATTCAGGCTTTACCGATGCATTTGCATAGGAGCCAATATACCAACAGAGGTCGAACAATTCGATCCAGCATAAGAACGGAGAATTACAAGCGTATCAACAAATAGTTATGGTCATAGTAACTGTTTATTTTTATCATTTACAAATGTCCAATCACCCTGAAACATGATGCACAGTTTTAATTCGTCCAGAATGGATATTTCATATGATGATGTATAGGTGAATAAGAAGGTAATTGATTTTTATGCAGTTTAATGTATATCAGGAATATGAGCGAAACACACAGGCTGTTTGTAACCATATTTCTCTCTTTCGACTTCAGGAACAACGTTTGACCTGATAGAGTTGAATTATTTGAGCATTTGGTAAATAGATTGTAAATGAAATATATTTCTCTCTGTTAAGTTGGCACTTGATTCACTTGGTTGATAAGTTTCTTTCAGATATCGCATACTAAAAGTTTTTGACAAATGTATATGTCATCCGTCTGAAACACTTTAACCTAAGGTAAAAGACATCTGGTTTATGTTATCCTCTATAGCTTTATCATATTTTGATTTCTGGAAACTATTCTCGTGGTTGGTAGCTGTTTGTGAATTAACTTTATTTCTGATTAAGATATAATTGATGTGGAATACAGTCACAATGTAATCGTATTTAAATACATATTGTGAAGATTCAGGGTCGAAACTCTTAAATTGTGCGCTTTATTTCTACCTCAGGACATACCTATGAAGTCGATGGTTGTATGTGCAGTTTAAGAATTGATTTTCGCTGCTGAATAGCTTCCGTTCACCATGACAAGCTGGATAATTTTAGACAGGCAGGCAGGCTTGTTTGAATTTTGGGCTACCGATGAAATTTCCCACCAAACGTATTATATCATATTCATCTCTAACAGTTTGTTTTAATCTCTTAAACATGTCCTCCAAACGTATCACGTACTCCTGCTGATTTTTAAAGTGTTCTGAACTAGTCGTTCTAAGAAGTAATAACAAAACGAAGGAAAAATGTCATATTAGACGGAAATGAACTTTTTACATGCACTAAAATATATCGCATTTCTATTCTTCGGATACCTATCTCGAGTAGTACATTCTCCTACAGGTTGAATGATCCACCACCAGTAAATACCGGATGGTAATCCAATCCAAACCGGTTACTTCACATTATTATCGTTGTTACTGTTATTGTGAACATCATTCAGACGCCATAATTTTTCTTTTGGAAGTAAATTTGTCAACTTATTACGTGCTCAGAATTCCATATTATATTAAACA